CCCCCCCCCCATTTATTTCAGGTGAGGAAAGCTTTATTTTGGAAATCTGAAAGTTTCTTTCTGCCTAAACTTAAAGGTAAAATTTATTGCATTCTTAACCCTGAATGYTCTAAATATGTTTATTTTTTTAATGTCAAATCTGGCTTAGATCTGATATAAATTTAATGTTTTGAATTTTTAGAACTCTAAAATGTCCCTGAGTGTGARTGAAAGTGAGTGARTGTCTCATKTGTCTCTGTGTCCCTTTGATGGCRACCTGTCCAGTCCAGTAGGGTTGGGCATAATCGTATCGTGTGCAATTAATCGTCAGAAAAACATTAATCGATTACTTTTTGGCACTTGACGATTAATACAATTAATGCCAGCAGGCAGACTGACTGGGGATTACTCCGGTCAGTCTGCTCAGTGCTCCTGTCCGCTTCAAATATGACGAACATTAAAATAAAGTTCTGTAATTTATTTATCTATCTACACAATTTAAAATATGATGTATGGCCTGAAATCTGTAATTTTCACACAATTTGGAACAATTTTTTACAAAAAGCAAATCTTTCCCACTAAATTGGTCATGTGACTACGAAATAAGGCTGCCCAGGGACTCAGGGCATTAATCATCAAATTAATCATTATCGTCTAAATACCACAATTAATCGTGATTAATTTTTTTGCCAATATTGCCCAACCCTACTGTCCAGGGTGTAACCCCGTCTCTCACATAGTGACAGCTGGAGATGGACACCAGCTCACTGTGACCCAGAAAGCAGAATTAAGTAAAGAAAATTAATGGAATTTCTATTTTTAACCCCTTTGAATGAATCCTTTTATTTGAAGCAGTAACTCACTTATTGAAGTGATATTATGTGAGAAAGKTAGTAACAGTTAATATCTTACATGTTGTAGATAACTTTCGGGACAACCTGAGTTTATAGAAATAACACACTTACAGGTTTGATGAGTTAATGGCTAGTCTGGAATGAGTTTTCAGTTGGTTGCAATAAGAAACCTCAAGCACTAGATGTCACTGTGTATTACACACTGTTCCTTTAAAATAGACATATCATGCTTTTAAATCCTTCCTTTTCACATTTAAATCATTCAATCATCATTTAAATCACACGTAATAGACTCAGAAAATGTTATACAAAATAGAGAAAACTGAACAGGCTGAAAAACATGACCCAGAGAGAAAATAAAGATGTCTTTGCATCACCAGGAGAGACTAAATTCAACTTTTCTGCCAAAGACTCCAAGCACAACAAAATGTATTTTACAGCTAAAAATGTGGGTTTTGCATGACATGTCCCCTTTAAGTGATTGGCAATATTTTAATCTCAAAGATTTTATAAATCACAAAATTACAAAAAGACACAAAAAGAAATACAAAATTGACAGCTTCCCCTGCAGTGTCTGTCATTAAGAGATCTGATTTAGGGGGAAACACTCTTATTACATGTTTCCAACAGAAATGTTATGATGCTGCTTGTGGAATTGACTCCTAACTGCAACAAAAGTGCTACAGCTAGCTGCTGCTGCTATAGTTTGTGCTATTCTATGTAAATAACAACGTAATAGGAAGTTACAATGTAAAGGTTTCCTTTAAAATATTTGTATGAATTTATTAAAAAAGAACTTTGTTTTTAGCWTTCAGACTAGCCTTTAGCTCATCACTCCTGTCAGAATAAACTCTTCTTCAAACTGAGGTCACTCAAAGAGCTATCTATGGTATAATTTTCACAAAACCCTACAGGACTAACGACTGTATGGAATATGTAATGGAAAATTACTTTTATTGTTTCCAATACTGTACCTCAGCTGCTTCAACGAGAGATTCAGGAAAAACAGTTTTTGAKATTAAATTGTTTTAAAGGTGTTTTTTCCCCTTTTATTTAATGAAAAAACATCTAATCTGCTGTTCAAGTTTAGGTTTTATCACAAAATGTTTTGTTTTATTCTCCTCTGACACGGTTTTGCATCTACTACTTTACAATTTAAGTCAGACCTGCCAATTAGTTGTTATTTTTTTAACATCATGGTCATCTTAGCGTTTTATCTTCACTTCAGCCTCACAAAGTGTAAGCTTTAACGTACCAACAGTTCTAACAGCGATCGCCTCAAAATGTTTCAACTAGCATTATACCTAACTGATTTATTGTCCATTGTATGAGAACTCCGAGACTAGCTTATGTGGTATATGTTTGTGAAAAAAAAAAAACAAGCTTGCTGTTTTGTGCGTGTGTGCAAGAGTGACGGGAAGCTGAGCGAGTAACTGTGGCGCAATCAGAGCTATACTGTAAAATGGATATAGAAAATTTATGCAAAAAATTTTAAGTCACCCTTGATAAATATGTATTGTATCAGAGGTCACTATCACGTTCTTAGATTTTATCATGGTCGTTATTAAACATATACTTATATGTTGTTGGTGTCTTTGTTGTTCTACCCAAAGTTTGCACACAAAAAAAAAACTAAGGATCAAAAAAACAAAACTAAAAAGTCAAGACTTCAGTTAAGTCCATACCTGTGTCCCAGTGTTGTCTTGGGGTTAATAATGAAAGTCATGAAGGATGCTTGGCTTCTCCTTTGAATGTCTTTTTAAAAAATGCTGTTGTACCGGGAAAACATCATTCTTATGTTTCTTAGTACTTATGTTTCCTGATGCAATGCCTGCACATTCAGGGTTTTTCTTTGTTTTAAAAAAACATTGGAATAATTTAGTTACTTTTTTTAAATTACTTTTTCAAAGTCACAAGTTTATATCCATTTCTTTYAATGACATGGATCAAATGTTTTTGGTTTCCTTCCACAAGCGTCTCCCAAAAATTTGCTTGAGTTTTGTCCCTTTCAGGTTGGCGGGCCACCTTGCTCACCTATGCTTTTTCAGACCTACTCAAAAACAGATTTTCTTGGACTGAATAAACATTGACTTTGTTGTTTTTAAAGGGACCCCCGATTAATTGTAAAATTAGACTTTATTTGATAAACATATATTTTAACTGTAAAATAAAAACTGTAAAAATAC